AGAATTCTTGTGAGAATAGTGAAGAAACCCTAGAGATTATAATGGCCTCATTCACTCTGCGAATTTGAGTTTTCAATTTGAGCTGAGATGTGACATTTTCTTAGAACTTTTAACGATTGCAGAAAAAGTTAGATGTGACGTTTACTGAGAGCTTTTAATTGCAGAAATCTAGAACTGGAAACTCGAATCAGTGAAATGACCGAGGCCAATATTTACGATGATAGGAAGGAATGATAATGGTTGTGGTATGTGTTGAAAGGTTGAAACAACAGATAAAACGAGCTATGGTCAGCTTGGAAAACCCAAAAATTAGGCTGAACACCGGCAAAATTTAGTTTAAAAATTGAAACTAAACCCGGTTATAATGAAGAATTGGAGGAATGAAATGTGTAAAAATGTTGATTAGGTGATTAAAGATGCGTAGAAGCCTAAAATGATGAAAATTCTAAGTTTCAGACCAAAATCAAAAACTAGATTATTGACCCGAAACTTGTACCCGAATTTGCTTAAGCTAGAGGACCAAGATAGAAGCTTAATTTCAAAAGCGACCGATGTCAAATTGAAGGAAATTTCATTCCGAACAACTTTTGTGAAATGGGTATTTCCTAAAAAACAACCCTATACGTTAGTTTCGAGTTGATTTTTGAAATAGATCCAAAATGGTGATTTTAGGCCAAATATGCACGAGTTTGGTGCACATTGGTAATATAGGAGATGTTTCAGTCTGAATACTGAATGTGAAAATAGATCCTTTCAAGGATTTTAGACATGACGTGCGCACTCCGTGAAAATGACATTTACAGAACCTCAAACTCGAGTAAAATTGTATTACAATTATTGATCTTAAATTGTGAATTAACAATCGGGAATTTATATGATATGATCAATAGGCGATCAAGGAAGTAAAATTTTTGGAGACTCAAAATTTGTGACTTTAGCGGAACTTCTTTAAGTACCAGCAATTTTCCTTTGTCTATATCACGAACAAGTTTATTTCTCTGTGTTGCACAAAATTGTGCATATTGTGAGTTCATTGTATGATATTATGTGAAAGATGTTTCTTAATTCTTATTTGTTGCATTGAATGTGCTTATGGACTTAGAGTAATAGTGGAATTTTAATTTACAAAAAAGTCAAGTCAAAGTCAACAAAACAAACATTTGAATAAAGCCCAATTTCATAGGAAAATTCGTAGAAAAGCCTAAAGATGCAAAAATATGACTAAAATTACTGTCATAATAAGAAAAGGTGACAGTAAGAGGATAAGATTAAAATTACTATCATAATAAGAAAAAAAAAACAGTAAGATGATAAGATTAAAATTCCTATTATGGTAAGAAATGATGACAGTAAGATGAAGTATAAAGTAATGATGACAAGTGATAAGAAGTTAATAAAACTGTTTGTAATGACCTTCACAAGGGAGGTTATTATGAATAAAATCATGGGTGAGTTGGTTTTTGGATAGCTCCCCCACTCCTCATTAGGTATGTGCGCAACAGTACAACAGGTACGAGGCACAAAAGAACTAAAAGGTAAAAATTAAGATTAAAATTAATGTCACAATAAAAATAAAGCTGACAGTAAGATGATGTATGAAGTAAAGATGATAAATGACAGAAAGTTAATAAAACTATTTGTACTGGCATTCGCAAAGGAGGTTATTATGAATAAAATCATGGGTGAGTTGGTTTTGGATAGCTCCCTCACTCTTTATTGGGTATGTGCGTAAGGGTACAACAGGTACGGGACCCATAAAAAGTAAAAGTTATGAGAAACGAATGACATAAAAATGAAAGTTGTAAAGAAGTATGAAATAAAAGAGAAGAAAGCATAACACGATAAAATGAAAGAAAAAAAAAAGCATGACACGATGAAATGAAAGAAAAGAAAGCGTGACACGATGAATGAAAGAAAAGAAAGTATAATACAATAAAAGGTTTAAATGTTTAGAAAATGTGCTACAGTGTATGACATGAATGCATATATGAGTATGCATTACTGATTGCACTTGTTGTGGTTTGATATTACTTGCTGAGCGAAAGCTCATCCCATTTGTTCGTGTTATAGGAAGTTTGGATAAGACATCGGCTCCCTGAAACTTGTTTGCTGGGCGTGCAGAAAAAGATGAAGCAGTGGGTTGTGGACAAGTGAGTAATGGATGAATCACGTGTTTTGAAAACGTTACAATGTGTATAAAGTAAGTAGTGTTTACAGATGTACGAGTAAGTAAGTTATATAATGAAAGTTAAGTATATGAGACAACGAGGTTATGTTTTACAACTTTAAGTCACAAATTATGTTGTACCCAAAGTACTATCATGTTAATGGTATGTGAATGGCAATAGTGTGTAAATGAAAAGTCGAATGTATGATCAAACCTAAAAATAGATTTTGAGGTTTTAAAAGAATTTTATCTATAAATTATTAAACGTGAAGAAACTTAAAATGTTTTTAGAAAAGTATTTTTAATATTTTAGTTTTACTATGAAATATTAATTAAATTTTATTCTGACAAATATATTAGTAATTATTTCATTATTGAAGAAAAAAGTAGTCTAAATTTTAAGAGTTTTAAGTTTAAAATAGTAGTATTGAACATATAGATTAAATATGAAGGTAGTACTAATGATTTGATGTAAGTATCATCACATTATTTCTGTCTTGATTTCGATGTCGTCTTGACTTTGCAATCATTCAATATGGACACGCCGAGAAAGTCTATGCCATGAGAGAGAGGGGTTGCATATATCATTTTTGTCGTAATTTTTGTCTCATTTGGCTTTGTAATCATTCAATATAGACACGCCGAGAAAGTCCATAGCATGAGAGGGAGAGGGACGTCTGGCTTGGAAATCATTCAATAAGGACATGTCGAGAAAGAGAGAGATTACATATATCATTTCTGTCGTGAATTCTGTTTCATCTGGCTTTGTAATCATTCAATATGGACATGCGCCTAGAAAGTCTATACCATGAGAGAGAGAAGTTGCATATATCATTACTGTCGTGAGTTCTATCTCGTCTGGCTTTGGAATCATTCCATATGGATACGCCGATAAAGTCTATACCATGAAAGAGAGAGAGGTTGCATATATCATTACTGTCGTGATTTCTCCCTCGTCCGACTTTGTAATCATTTAATTAGGACACGTAGAGAAGCCTACACCATGAGAGAGATAGAGAGGTTGCATATATCATTATACTGTCGTGATTTCAGTCTCGTATGGCTATAATCATTCAGGGCTAGTTCACTTTACGAATTTGAGTTTTTAATTTAAACTGAAATGTGATATTTTTTGATAATATTTTACTGTAATAAAAAAAATTAATGTAACATTTTTTGAGAAATTTTTACTATAAAAATTTAAAATTAAAAATTTAAATCGATAAAATAAACGAGACATCAATATATATATGGACACGCCGAAAAAGTCTATACCATGAGGGATGGAGGGAAGGAGAGGGAGAAAGAGAGTGAGTGAAGTTGCGGTCTGACATTTGCATAAACAAAGAGAAAAAGAAAGCGAGAAAGAGGAGTAGGCAAGTAATGAGAAAGAGGGACAACATGAAAAAGGATGTAAGAGGGCCAGGGGATGGTGTTTACAGAAATGCACTCTTTACTATTACGAAGTCATAAATAAATAGTGTCATCATGATCCACAACGAGATACAATCACTGGGAATTCCACCAGATTATGATAAAAAATAAATTTATCATAAAAAAATTAACAAGTGGTACAATGATACTGCATGATACTTACTTTCAAGAGTGAAGAAATAGAATTTGAAATGCCTCGTTTATTTTATCGATTTGAGTTTTTTCATTTATTTTATCGATTTGAATTTTTAGTTTTAAGTTTTTTTAGTAAAAAGCTCTCAGAAAATATCACATTTAACTTTTTTTACTACAATAAAAAACTTTCAGAAAATGTCACATCTTAGCTCAAATTGAAAACTCGAATTTGCAAAGTAAACGAAGTCTAAGTTAGGCTTCGTTTATTTTACCAATTCGAGTTTAAAAGTTGAGTTTTGTTACAATAAAAAAATTTTAAAAACAGTCAAATTTAATTTTTTTATTACAATAAAAAATTATCACATAAAATCATATCTCAATAAAAATTAAAAACTTAAATTAATAAATTAAACGAGCTCTTATGTTCTTCCTACTTTTTTTACTAATATAAAATCGTAAATAAAAAGTGTTATCGTGATCCACAATGTGATAAGATCATTAGGAATTCCACTAGAGTATAATAAAATAATAAATTTATTATAAAACAAAAACATTAAATAAGTGAAAAAATGATACTGCATGTTACTTGCTTTCACGAGCGAAGAAATTATGGAATTTCGAGGAATTGCGAAAGTTAGTTCTTCTAAACTTTAAAATAAACTCTACTTACTAATCTAATATGTATATACTAGGGACAAGCTGAGTATAAACTATTTTACATTAATGTTTCATTTATTTCACGGATTCGAGTTTAGAATTTGAGTTTTATTACAGTAAAAAAATTTTAAAAGCGGTCACATCTAACTGTTTTACTACAGTAAAAAATTCTTATATAAAATCGCATTTCAACTCAAATCAGTAATCGAAATGGACCCTAAATAATTCCATTATAGTCATTACAATTGCGTTTATTATCGAAAGAGATGAGAGGATTTATTGTTTCGGGGGACGAGGACGGAAAACTAGTGAGCATGCACTTTCCACGTCGGTTGCGTATTTTAGATGGAAACACTTGGATTGCAGTTAATTCACATTCAAGACATAAAGCAATGCCCATACACGAAACATCTTAGGTTGATATACTAGCGTTGCAAAAAATAAAGAAAAAAACACACACACTGGCCAATTCATTTCTACACTTACATAGCAAAAGTTCATTTCAAATATTCAGGTCTCCAGTTAAAGCGGCGGAAAAAATAAAAAAAAACACTTAGTACACTTGCATTTGATGTAGTTCCATTAACCCATCAGTTAGCTAAAGATTGCCCTTTATTCCCTCTCGAAATATTTCTTGTAGTACTCATAATCTCTATAGTATGGGTACGCAACTTTGTACACTTCAATCAAGAGCTCTGGGAATTGGCGTCTAAAATAATCATCCAATCCTTCATGTAGCGATCCAACACGGTTCTGAAATAGCCACCAACAAATTAAGTGAATATTAACCTTGAAAAATTTAAATGTCTGTAAAGATGTATGAAATTCCTATGCTACGATTACAATCACCTTAATATTATCTGGGAGTTGTTCATAATGTCTCAATATGTTCCGAATCAGTCGTAGCAAGTCTCGAACACTGCTAAAGTTGTAACCACCTTCCTCATATTTCAGAATGTGCTTGATTATGTCGTCATCTATCGTTTTGTTCCAACTTACGACTACATTTGCCAGACATATTGTTTCTTTACGTAAAACCTCTCCCGCAGTAGATTCAAGTGCTTTCAAAAGATCAGAGTTCTCGCTTACTCTATGACTAGTGTCGCGCAGGAAAAAAAGTCTCGTCTTTGCATCCCAGAATAATGGATGGTGCAACACCTGAGTTGCTTTTGGCCTACCAAGAATAACAAGTGTTATTTTCATCTAGAAATAAAGGATTCGAGCTATGTGCTGAGCTTCTTTTCTTGCCACTCATCAAATAAAACTTTTAAACCCTACTCCAATGTTCTTCAATTCACTAGTACAATAGCAAAGGTCTTGTCTGAACATGATATCATTTAAATTTGCTGAACAAGTATAAAATAATGAGTTTCTAATAGTTTAATAATTACTAATTAGTTCGGAAATGAACCACGTAGAATCATGTTTAAAGAAACTATATAATCTCACCTCAACTCATAAGCGGCATTTAATAAAAGAGAAATGAGATGTAAAGCTTCTGGGAAATTCTTTATGGAAGACAGGTTCACTGCATTCTCATTCCTAATATTCGTATTACAATAATCATCCTCCCCAAATGGATGCATACCGCCAGTGATGCAAAAAAAGAGGAGACAACCTAAATTAAACAAATCCACTGCAGGTGTTTGTTGCTTAAAATCAAGCCATTCTTTCGATTTCCAGCCTGTAGTGCCAGTACCTATAGCTGATTCCGAAAAACATTGAATGAGGACAAACATTGAAGAGAGTCAGATGGAGTTAAAATTAGGTTAAGCAAAAATGTTATCAAACATCAGGTCGTAGTAGCTACTAGCTACATTATGCCCACTTGGGTTTCCAAACGGCAAATGCATATTTCTTGGGACAAGATCATGATTAATTATGTTCAAATCACAAGTTATGTTCAATTGTGTTCACATGCTTCATGCAATATTATTTGAAATGGCATTATTAATTGGTGACAGTGTTTTGATGCTATTATTCGAAATAGCATTATATTATGGTACTAAAGTATATTTACATTAACTAGAATTGGCTAGAATAGGTAATGAAAGAATTAGTTTGATCGACTATTGTTGGCGAAATGTATATGTTATATATGTAGGATATCTAAAATAGTGAAATGATAGTACTTACTTGCAGGGTGGTTACTTAAGGAAGACATATTAGCACCAAGTTTTCTGCTGATGCCCATATCAGAAACCTTTGCACAGAAAGTTGATTTTTCCTTAAGTATTAAAACGTTTTGAGGCTTCAAGTCTCGGTGAACCATACCTAACTCGTGGAGAAAAACAAGTCCAGAAACTATGTCCCTATGAGATTATAAATTGAAAATATACATAAGTTCAAGTAATCAATTATCATAAACCTAATTCAAATGGAAAGGATCTAAAAGATAATTTATTTAAATTCCAATTGAATACGTTACCCTAATTTCCCTCAACTATGAATTACACAGTTTAGGTTCTTTAGTGGCGATTATAGGAACTTTTAACTAACCTCATCAGTTTCAGTAATAAAGCTGATGGACGGTTTTCTTTTTCCACCCAAAGCCTTCTATCTCCCAAAATCTCGTTAGATGGCTGGATGAGCTTACTCAAATCGCAATCACAACGCTCCAGAGCAAGATAATAAAAGTCTTCGTTTTCTGCCATCCCGTAGTATTTTACTATATTTTGGTGATGTTTAAATGCTTCGAAATTTTCAACTTCACGGGGAGCCAAATCGTAATGACTCTTGAGAATGCGTTTCACAGCGACTGGTTCATTTTCATAAAGCCCCTCATAGATAGTAGTCCCGCCGCCGCTTATTGCAATTTGCTTTGACAATAAAACCACTAATTCACCTAGCTGCAACTGATTTTTATTTGGTGAAGCTTCTGAGCTAGATGCAGTGCTTTCTTCTCTCTGTTGATTTACATGACAAATTTTTCGTATATAAATAGATAAATAGAAATATAGATCAACTAGAACCATTTTTTTAATTGCTTGAAAGATGCCATAAAGAAATAATTTTAAAAAAAATTAATGTACTAAACGAAAGTCACTTGTACAAAATAAGAAAGAATCAGACTACGGATGTACAAAAGAAAAAAAAAAAAGAATCAGACCCTTGGATAAAACATTAGAGCCCGTAGCGATCCAAAGAAACGAAACAGTAATGAGCAAAAGAAGAAGCCAATAAGCCTCTTAGTTTGGTGGTCATCGTCAAGAGATTTGACTTTAAGGATTGCAAGTGTACAGCCTCTGTCACCTCCGGGATCCCCTTGGAACCCCACACCACCACCACCAACTCAGATTATTTTCTTTAATTAACACCTTTTATTCCTTGCAAAATAAAATAAAATAAAATCTTCTTTTCCTCATTATTCTTTTGCAAGACGGCCTCATACCAATATTATATTTTTCCAATTAATAGTTCCCATTAAAATCACATTAAGATTAAAAAAAAAATATAGAAGAAAATGTAAAACATAGAGTTTTTTATATTGACAAAATTAGAGATTTACCGGTATTAATTTATATTTTAAAATCCTTCCATAGAAATCTCCTTATTTTTTAAGCATACAGTACAGTTTTAATTTTTTTTTTTACAAAATAGAAATAAATCTTTTCTCTTTTGACAATAGAAAACAATAAAGAAAAAATAAGAAAACCCTCGTTCACTAAAACGGGGAGCATGCCAGAGTCCTGTCAAACTTTTGATCACTCCACTACGCAGCATGACCGGGCAAGTACGGATCTGGCATGTGTGTGTTTTGTGACATAAACGAAATGAGCAATAATACAACAAAATCATATCTTCAATCAAAACAAGAAAAAAAATCATTAATCTTAAAGCTGTTATTCACAAATGAGAAGTTGACATCTTTCATTTATCTCGAAATGTCGCCAGATCTCAGTTTCTCCAGTACTAATCGGACTTACATTCTGGGAGCAATCGATGTATGAATGCCAAAATCTATGAAGAGACAATACTATTAAATTAGGAAAAAAAAAAAAAGAAATATAAAGCGCATGAAGAGAGAACCGATAGCTGCAGTGCCGGGTGAAAAGTAACTTTGTGCGTCCGTATCTCCGAGTTTAATGGGGCATGTGTAGACGTTTCAGCTCCATTCGCTTTTTCCATGTTAGACATGTTTCCTTCATACAAATTTATCTGAAAAGTCCAAACTGAGCTGTACGTACCACTTCCACGTTTGTGTGTGTACGTGGAAGATAAACAGGAGAGAGAAAGGGGGGGATGTTTCTGTAAGAGATGTAGAAGGATTTTTTTACTCAGCGACCTCCAAATGGTACATGTTGTAAGCAATGACCTCGTTATAAAAACTAATTTTTTTATTTGTTTTCTTTCAGTTTTTAAGTAAAATTACAAAATTAACCCCAGTTTAAAAAAAACGACCGAAATTCCTTCCAAAACCAAAAAAAAAAAAAAAAAAAATTGCCTTTTGCCGCTAACATCGTCGGAATCCACCGGTTCTCCAGCACCCTGCCACTTGTCCGTGCTTCCACAGTCTCTCCGGTCCCAAAAGCAACCCACTAACTCCGGCAAAGTCAAACAACTCCTCACTGTGAAGGTAACCTCCTTACTCCGGCTATTCCTCCCGGCACTCCTCACTCCTCACTGTGAAGTATCTGTGCTTATTTTATGTTTTTATTTCGTGATCTCGGTTGTTGGTTTTGTATTCTTGGTGTGGATTCTGTTATTACATTAGTGTCCATCACATGTTCGACAAAATGCCTGACTTGTTTTATGACATTTATTTTTAAATATTTAGTGTAAAATCATGTAAATACGTGTCTTAGTTTTAGAAATGTGTTTGGTATGTTAAAGTATTGAGTTTGTTTATTTTTTATTTGCATAATTGGTTGTTAAATGTTTAATTTTGAGAAACAAATGAGAAAAAAGAAAAAGTGAAAGAACGAAAATGTGATCTGTGCTAAGTTTGGATAGCACTAAAATAAAATAGGAATGTAGTACACTAAATTTCGTATTTAAAGTTTAGTAAATTAAATTTTATATTTTGATGTTGTCGCATTCTAAATATGGTATATGCATTACTCTTTACTTTGATAGAGTCGTCTTAACAGGTTGAAGTTAATGTGGCACGAAAGCGGACCACACCAGCCTCTTCTCCCCCTCCGAGCGAACGTTGTCGAAATGTGGAACCGTCAAACACAGAGTCTGAAAATAGCTTTGAAGGAATAAGTGTGACTCCACCCCAGCCGAGTAATGACAACAACCAGCAACTCGTGACACCACTACCATCAATGCCAACCACTCGATGCATGTTAGAGACACCACATTCACGGTCCTTGGAACCATCAGTAAGTTGGTGATGGTGATGATTGCGGATATCATGCTCTGGGAGATAATATGTTGGAATTGAACGAAATGGACAAAAATGTTGAGGCCGAGCAACTTAATGAATGAATGAAAAGACAATAAAAAAATTCAAAGTACAGAAGAACTCCGTTTACTGATCCTCAAACTACAACCCGCGGCCATTTATGAGTGGATTCTGTTATTACAATACATATAATATTTAAGAACGTATATTTGACTGAGGACTTGTATAACTTTGTTCTTTTTCTGTAATATTCTATAGAAATATGGCTTTTATAACATATTTTGGATGTATAAATTGCGTTACAGTATATTTTTTTCCTAGTAGCCGTGATTTTGTGTGTTTCGGACTGTTCAGATAGGTGCCGATAAGAACAGTGAAAAATGGCCAATAGCCGAAGTATGAATTCTATGTGTTTCTGAACGTTCAGATTGGTGCCAGTAAGAATGGTCAAAAATGGCCAGGAGTACAAGTTTGGATTCTATTTGTTTCTGACCATTCGGATTAGTGCCGGTAAGAATGGTAAGAAATGACCGAGAGTCCAAGTATGGATTCAGTGTGTTTCTGACCATTCCGATTTGTGCCGGTAAGAACGGTAAGAAATGGCCGAGAGTCCAAGTATAGATTCTGTATGTTTTTTACCATTCAAATTGATGCCAGTCAAAATGGTCAGAAATGGCCGAGAGTCCAAGTATGGATTCTATGTGTTTCTGACTGTTCGGATTGGCGCCATTCTGTCACGCCAGTGACGTGAAGGTTCGTTTAGCAGTTAAACGTGATTAAACATTTGAAATTATCATAATCAGGATCGAAAGTAAAATATTTTATGAAATTTGCAAACATTTGAAATTACGAGAAAGTTCCGGGACCTGGCCTACTTTCTAAGTCGTTCAGGGCTTCACCAACAGGATATACAGTATTGTACATACATGAACATGTAAATAACATTACAGACATCAACTACAGTCTAGAAATCCATAGATCAGAGTTTACCGAGTTTACAATTCTTACATTCGTGTAACACCCCGAAGAATTCAATGGAATTAATTAAGGTAATTGAGATTTATTAGTGTGCCTAATCTGGTTTAATAAATTAATTATTATTTAATAAATGTTTCTGACGTGTAAATTTAAATAATTCCAAGGTATTTAAATACTTTCAGTAATTACATTTTCACCTAGAGTGTGTGTACACACATTTTTTGGACTGTCTTTCAATTTTGGACACCTGTCTTTTCCTTTTTCTTTATTTTTTCTTTTCCTTTTTCTTTTCCTTTTTCCTTTCCTTCTCGTGCATTCTTCACTCTCTGTCTCTCACTCTCGTTATCTCACTCTTTCTCACTCTCCTCTCGTTTTTGACACAAAAACAACCAAATCTCAAACCAAAGAGAAATTTAAAGAAGTTTTCAACGTTAAGAGAAGGATTTCAGGTAAGATTTCTAAAAACCTCTCTTGAATCTCAACTTTTTTGAATTTAAAAACTTATTTTGGTTCAAAACGGATTTTCATGGATTTTAGGTAAAACCATGGTAGAAATCGGAGATCTTAGGTTCTTTGGACTTGATTCTGTAATGACTGAGAAAATTTCAGACCTTAAATAATACAATTCATGTATTTTTAAGCTAAGGATTTTCTTAGAAAATATTATGTTATATTGTGAATGGAGGATTTATGGAATTAATATATGTATTCCTAAATTCTATAGCAAATTTCATGTTAAGTTCATGTTTCGATCAAGTAAATTCGATCGATAAATTGTCGCCGTATTTTAAGGCGGAATAATTTTCAGTACAAGTATAGTTTGAGAATCTTAATTTCAAGAATCTCTAAGCACAGCACGATGTTAGCGGCATATAAAAAAAAAACGCACTGACATTTTAAAAGAAGAAAAAAATCCTTAATTGCCAAACAGTTAGGTTAAAGTCACAAGATAAATACCTATAGTAGATGGATACAATATGAGTTCGGGAGTTGACACTGTCAGAAACGTCATTCTCGGGATAGAATACAGAAAATTAAAATTTAGAATTTGTTCAGTCTAAAATTAATTTTAAGACTTGAAACAGTTTGAAATATTACGCGAGTAAGAATATAAAACAATATTGAATTATTCAGAAATTGATATTGGACTGTAAGTAGTAGATTAACTTACGTGAGCTAAACTAATTACCTCTAATCAGTATAAATTTAATCTGTTTAGAGGAAATAATTGAGGATAAGATCAGGCACGTAATCTTACCTTAATCAGATACTTTATATAGTGAAATTTTTAGGGTTCTTGCACTTTCTTTCTCTTATTCTCGCTCATTCTCTCTCTCCTCTCACATTCTCTCTCACACAAACCATCAATGGCCAAATACTCAAGTTAAGATTCCGACCTCCATTTTTGACACCGCCGGTGTCAATAGAAAGATCTCGACGAGCTGAGTTCAACGACATGCGGCACGACCTCCAACCCCGCCGGAATCAGCCGCAATCGCCGGCGGAAGTTCC